ATAATCCCTCCAATGTAAGTTATATTCACCCAGGTCGTTTGGGTGGAAAATTATGAGAAGAGCTTAGTCACTCTTAACTAATGATAAATAAACACGCAGGCAGGCCTTCAGCGCCAACTGTCAAATCTTATCTCAAATAAATAAACAAAAAACGCTGGACATTCTGTCCCCCCCGCCGTCTTCCCACCACCCTCGCGTTCAAGATAAAAGATTGGTGATTTCTTTATGTTTATTTTATATAATATCTCAGACTAAAGTTAGGATAATATAGTTTGCATTGATGAAATCCTTGCAAGACAGAGATTAATTTGAATATAAGCATCATATATTTTGCTCAAGATATAAAAAATGTAGTACATTACTGTACAATACTGCAGTACATTTTATAAAAAGTTTTTCAACTGTATTTTTGGGTAGATTTACATACATTTCTTCATTTATTTTCATCCATTTACATGCACACACCATACTAAAAGAAACGTAATAGAAATAAATGACGTTAGTGCAAAGCTGGAGTGCACATGTACTAATTTGATTAGGTACTAAAATTGTTTTGTCCAGTGCAAATTATAGCATGTTTATATTCAAATTATTCAGTATGTTACAAAAATCCCAGCTATGTTAATTATATTCACCCAGGTCATTTCACTGGCTTTTTATAAGAGAGAAGCTTAGTCACCTAAGAACTGATAAATATACACACGTTAGACCTGGGCCTGTGCCAACTGTCAAACGTACTTCCTCCCCTCCCCCCACGCCCCCTCGCTCGCTCCCACCCTCTCCCCCATCTGCTTGGCGTTGCTGGAATCCTTGTAAAACAGTGAATAATTTTAATATAAACGTCATGTATTTTGCACAAGAGATAAAAATTAATCACCTGTATCACATTACAGTTGTGATTTAACAGTAAAAGTGTATATGTACGTATATAGTATTCCACATACACATAAGTATAAATAAAAAGTTTATGTGATGATCGGACAACGTCCATTACGGTTTAACGTCACGTTTCCAAGAATGTATCTAGGACGTTAACTTGACAGTTGAGATAAATCCAGGTCGTAAGTCCGACATGGTGGTAAGTCCGACATAGATATTTTTTTTTTTTTTTTTTTTTTTAAATAAATAATCTACAATGAAATACAGTACAGTAAAAGTAATGAATAATGAGGAATGGATATAGTACAGTGAAAGTAATAAATAATAAGGAATGGTTACAGTGTGACTGAGCACTTACCTTTAATGTAGTCAGCTGAATGCACATGGGGCCCCAATAATTTTCTAATTATACATGGAGACTACATTAACTGGAAACGTTTAGGTATAGAAAATGCGTGTCATTTGAAAAAAAAAAAAAAAAAAAAAAAAAAAAAAAAAAAAAAAAAAAAAAAATTCTGCGGCGCTCGTAAGTCCCGACGGTCGTAAGTCAACGTAGTCGTAAGTCGGGGTCTAGGTGTATATACACTCGGCCCTTCACATACGCGGGTTTAGCATTCACGGATTGCCTCGCCGGAGGAATATTCTGTACACTGAAGTAATTGAAGTACATTCAAATCGCGTGTTTCGAATGGTTTTCAGTTAAAAAAACTTTTGTATTACAATAATATTCTATCCTAATTCACTTGTGATGCAACAGTTTTTTAACTGAAAATCATTCGAAAAGCGATTACGGTAATATCTTTTGAACGAAAGAAAGCGAAAGTCATTGTTTTCATCACGATTTCATCCCACTTTCCACTGTAACACGTATGTCATTTCAGCAAAAATATTACATTTCCGTGAAGGTAGTATATCAAGCACAGTATGAATAGAATATCATTGTAATATAATAAAATTTTAACCGAAAACTATCAAAATAACGAGTAACATCTCTTGAACATCGGAAGGTTAGGTAAAGTATTTTGTTTTCGTCATGTATTTTATCCTATTTTACAATGAAATACATCACGTTTCAGCAAAACTACTATTTATTTCTGAGAATATATTCATTCAGGCGCAGTTTAGGTAAAATATACATGTGATGTACAGTTTTTTAACTGAAAACGATTCGATAAACACGTACCCTCTAGCCCTGTTCAAGGAGAAGACTGGGAAGAGCTGTTTGGTGCTTAAGACAATGACAAGGAAAATGATTTTGATGGATTTTAATGAAAATATTCAGAAATATGGTATCGTAGTATTTATTCAAGTGAATTAGGATAGAATATTATTGTAATACAACAGTAGTGACGATGTGGAGGGATAGAGTGGGGAGGAGTGGTGACGCTGGAGGCGAGAGAAGGGACGAGTGGAGATGCCAGCCAGTACATTACGGGTGTACAGTATTAATTGTTTTTATAGCTCTTTTTGTATTTTAATATTAAATACTGTACATTACGTTTCAACAAAACTACTATTTATTTCTGAGAATATGGAAATGTAATATTTTTGCTGAAATGACTTACGTATTACAGTGGAAAGTGGGATAAAATTGTGACGAAAGCAATGACTTTCGCTTTCTTTCGTTCAAAAGATGTTACCGTAATCGCTTTTCGAATGGTTTTCAGTTGTGGGATTATGAGGCTAATGATAGGATAGAATATTATTGTAATACAGTACTGTACAACAGTTTTTTAACTGAAAACCATTCGAAAAGCGATTACGGTAGAATCTTTTCAACAACGAAAGAAAGTGAAAGTCATTGTTTTCATCATGATTTTATCCCACTTTCCACTGTAATATTTACGTCATTTCAGCTAAAATATTACATTTCCATATTTATTTCTGAGAATATATTCATTCGGTCACAGTTAAGGTAAAATATACTTGAGGTAATATTTTAATGAAAATAAGGTATCGTAGTTTTCTTTTGTTTCAAATTTAATTAACAAAGAATGATGTTTCAAATGTAATGAACAAAAATTTATGTACAGTATCTATAAATAAACTTTAAAAAATTAATACTATGCAAAGCTCGACGATCCAGTAGCTGATCCAAAACAATACTGGTACCAAGTGGAAATCCACCAACTTACGACAGATGGAACTTACTAACTGTATGGTGGCATTTATTGCCCATGATCTCCTTCCCGTCTCTGGTTGAAAGTGAGCGATTCCGCATACTCATGGCAACTGCAGAGCCAATGTTCACAATGCCCAGTCGTAAGCATCTGAGTAGTGTGCTTCTACCACAGCATTCAACCACTGTTCAGACAAGGTTGAAGACCCAGTTACAAGAAGTCCAGAATCTATGTCTTACCATCGACATGTGGTCCAGTAGGGATATGTGGTCATTTATAGGTGTGAGTGGTCACTTCATCCTTGACCTCACCATGAATAGCATTATGCTGGTATGTCATCGCTTTAATGGCTCCCATACTTCAGACAATATCTACGACATGTATCAAGAAACGGTGGCCTCCTATGATGTTGGAAGTAAAGTAACTACCATAGTTACTGATAATGCAGCAAATATGGTGAAGGCATTCACCTTATTCCCAGTGGAACAACTTGATGAAGTTGAAGAAGATGATGAGTTTGATGATAATGACTGTGATATCCTACCACCTGATGACACAGTTTGAATGCCTACCCCCAAACCACAGTCCATGCTTCGCTCATACTTTGCAGCTAGTGGTGAAAGATGGCCAGATCAAGCAAATTCTTGCAAAAGTATAAAAGATTGTCAGCTTCTGCAGGAAATCAACAGTGGCTGCAGAAGTGCTCTCAAATGAATTCAAGCTCCAGATGGCAACATGTACACGTTGGAATAGACAGTTGACAATGGTGAGGTCAGTACTTCGAGTTTCACCTGAAGTGTGGGACAAACTTGACACTCCCCACAAGCTGAAGCAGTATGAGTTGAACACCATCAAGGAGTTCTGTGATATACTCCAGCCATTTGAGTATGTGACTAATCAGATTCAGGGACAAAACATGTGACATCTAGTCTGGTAGTTAACTGTGTTCGTGGTCTTCGGGCTGCTTTAGCTAGTCTGCATGAAGTGTATAAAAGCAAGCTTGTTTCTGTACTTCAGTCTTCAACAGAAATTCGTCTGAATAAGTTAGAGTCTATGGAGGCTTTCCAGCTAGCTGCTACCTTAGACCCATGTTACAAGCTGGACTGGTGTCATGACTATGACAATGAAGTGCAAGACATTCGTGATCTTCTGACTGTGAAATACAATATGGCACGCAGTGTTGATCCTACAACAACAGACACTTTCCCTGCTGAACCACCACCGATGAAGAGGAACAAGTTCTTTGCTCTGGCCAACCGGTCTTCTACACCAAGACTAATTCCATCAGAAACTGAGGTCTCACTCTACCTCAATCAGCCAATGCTACAGGAAGATGGTGATCCCTTTGGCTACTGGAAGGCCAAGCAACCTGAGTTTCAAGTATCAATACCAGTCTCTCTGTCAATACCATGTTCATCTTCACCCCTACCAAATAATTCAGAGTATATCTCATCCTGATTGAGTAACATTCACATGCATAGGTAGTAGGCAGCTATCAAACAGGGAGGTACTACCACCTGGGAAGGTATTGGAAGCATAATGTGTTGTCTAATGGTTTATCCTGCTGCCATATATGACCAAGTCCCAGGTTGGTGATCCGACTTTCTGCTTCATTTACACACAATTGCAGGCTCTCAATTATTTCTTATTTTAGACAACACAACATACATACTGAATATCGTTTCTCACTCTTGACTTTTTTCAGTTTTGTATTTATCGTTCTTTTTATTATTATTATTATATATTTATTTATTTATTATTGTTGTTATTACCCAGTATATCCCCCTCAAGGCCCCAATGTGGGTTAGTGACCTGGGCCCGGAGGGACTAATCCCCTCTAAAAAAAAAAAAAAAAAAAAAAGTGGTCTTGACTTTGGGAAGACTGAGGATACTCCCCCTTAAATGTTACTTATGTACAGTAATCAAATAAATTTATTTAGTTACTTTACAATTCTGGACTTAAAAAACTAAATACATAATACATAAATGAAGAGTTCTAACCTTTGTAGATGTGTAATAATCCAAGCCATTGTATCACGATTAGGCTGTGGTAACTCCGATATAGCTTGATAAAGAGCAGCTGCTGAGTCCTGGGACTCAGATTTTTCAGCAGCAGAAGTGAAGTCCTTCCATAGAAGATGTGTAACAAGGGGCTCCTTCAAAGATCTCATGAAGTCCTTCAGAGTCCCACAGATGACATGGACATCAACTTGCGACAAATTAGGTAAGCCTTTCCCTCTCAAGAATCGTTCCTATAGCAATGTAAACAATAAAATGTATGCAGTGCAAGTTCAATAGTTACATAAATCACACACACAATCACACTTTCTTACAATGAAGTTTTCAGTAAGAATGAAGTTTTCAGAGTAATTTTCTGATAGTTTCAAAATCTCTCACATTACACTCCCTGAGGATATGTACTCACCATTATTCTAATTCTAGTGTGACCAATAATATTCTGGAACCGACCCTCCTCCTAGTACTCCACCAGACAATTACATGTTTCATTATTTCTCAGCCTGCTACTGCTCCTTAGCTCTCGAGCTTTTAGCCACTTGGTTACTCGACATCTGTTGTTACCTGTCGTTTTGTTATAACCACCACCTTCAGATATACACGCCTACTTTGCTATCTCTATTTGGTACAAGTAAAAAGTAGCATGAATGTGCCTAAGAATATTAAACAAATACTTTCCTAAAATGGTAACACCACTTACATGGGTTATTTTGTTCACTTATAAGTAACCATCAAACAAAAATCTAACCTTCAGTTCCTTGACATCCTTTTCAGAACCAGGTACTCGGTAAACCCCAATTTCGCTCAGCCCACGGTTCTCCACTTCATTGGTACAATGAACAACTAAAGCAGGAACCATAGGAGGAACACGAGGGGTAAAGTCTGCAATCAAGCTCTGTAAATGAAAAAAAGTTTACATTGAGAATGTGAAGCATGTGAATGCATCTAATATTCATGTGCTGATTTCAGACAAAAATATGAAAGTTTTCATCAAGTCAGGTTTTTTGTTACATCACAGAGAATCATACTACAGTATAACACAACAAAGCAGTTATGTCCATGTTCAATATGGGAGGTTTGTAGCATATTCATTATGTGATGACCACTCCTTTTTATTACTACAACACTGGACAAAATAAAGTTATTTACATTTTGCTGTAGGGTGGTTGTGTTGTAGAATGTGTATACAGTATATAGACTGGGATATGAAAATACAATATACTAATGGCAAAAAGTTGAAGGACATGAGCTAATGTTTGGCAACAAATATATACACGTATATACACACAAGGTGTGATCCAAAAGTTCCTGGACTGGCTTCATAAAATCTTTATTTTTGTTCAATCCAGAATGCGACGTCTAGCTTTATACCTAGGTCGGTATATGCCTAGCATTAACGCGCCAAGCCAACATACAGGCAATTAAAACATCTAATAATTACTTAAATACATAACATTAGGAAGACAGGTCGCTACCTGGCATTTAATTGCAATTCTCAAAACGCCCTCCCGCACCCTCTATCACACGCATTGCTACCATCATCTTCTTGCCTGGCGAATCAGCTGTAAACACGCACAAGGAAGGCTCCGCTAATTTGTGTTGCAATAACTGATATATTAAGTGCCAAGACGATTTTATTTTTGGTATTTATACATCTTAGCATGGTGAGGAAATCGAGTGACTTAAGAGTGACTAAGCTCTTTTCATAATTTGCCACCCAAACGACCTGGATGAATATAACTTACATAGCTTGGATTCTTGTAAGATAGTAATTTATTTGAATACCTGTATAAACAAGCTATATAGGTATTTGCAATAGACATAACAATTTTAGTACCGCAATCATTTAGTACATGTATAATACAGATTTGCACTTAGGTCCATTGTTAACCGAGGGATCACTGTATTGCAGTGTACTTGTACTGTACAATATTGACTACCCGGTAAATTCACTAGATAACGTACACAACTAATGAAACACTGAGGTTAGGAAGGCTAATAAAATAACAATGTCTACAATTGCTAATATATTGAAGTAAAAAAAATACAGGTACAGTATAAAATACATACAGTAAAACAGGTACAGTACAGTATAGTAAAATTAAACACTACACTGTTCACTGATTGAGAAGTAAATGCAGTATCGTATCCTTAAATCTGATGGACTTTTCTTACGTTTTACTTTGAAAATAAAATTTTACATTTCACTTATTTAACCTAAGTATAGTACAGTCAACCCTCGCTTTACGCGGTCCCACATTCCACGTTTCCACGTTTACGCGGTACCCTGCTGAAACCGGAATGCTCACATTCCGCGGTGCGTGCACCCCTTTACGCGGAGAGCGGCTGGCGAGCCGCGCCATTTTTGGATCCAAACCTCCCGCCATCTGCCATGTTGTGTAAGCGGTGTGAGCAGGGTGCGCACAAGGTCGCCCAGTCATCAAAACATTACCGAGTTCTTCACCCGCCACCCACCACAGCCGGCCCAATTCAGTGATCGTGATAATTATAGTGAGGATATGGACTTATATGGACTTCGAGGGGTTTGACAAAGAGGCCCTGCAAGCCTCTGTGGTGGATAGTGATACAATTGATACAAGTGATACAGGTGAGGGCCAATAATCTGCCCTCTGCCTCGGAACCAACCCCCCCCCATCCCCGTGTACTCAGCCAACTTTTCTACTAATGTAAGTGTTAAAAAACCTAATATTATTAATATTTCTCTTAATTATTAATTGTGTGCGCATACCATCATAAAATTAAGATAATATTTTTACTACAACATAGTTGTGTGTCGTCAAAAAGTGGAGTTTGGGGGTCAGCCCGGTCTCTATTTCAATTAATCCCATATGTTATGTTGTTCACTTTACGCGTTTCTCACTTTCCGCGGTACCCTGTGGGTTGAATTAACCGCGTAAAGTGAGGGTTGACTGTATACAATTTACATATACATTACACAATTTTTAAGCCATTCCTGGGTCATCAACATCACTGTCACTGCTATCAATTTGATACACAGGTTCCTCAGTTGCAGCTTCAATGATGAAATCATCTGTAGCGTGTGAAAGGCCTGGCTGAGGTTCGTCGCGGGGATGACTTGTTTTTTTGATGAAAATGTCGAGCGTTGTTTGTTTTGTCAGCTTTTTCTTCTCCTTGTAGATTTGACGATATGCGGCAAACACTGCATGTGCATTCCTCTGAGTGAGAAGCGTTCAGTGTTGGGGTCCATCTCTTCGGCACTTTTCAGCAGTGTTAACGTCGGCGAAGAACTTAGATAACCCCTTTACAGTGAACTTCTTCGGTATCTCCTCCACCTCCTCCTCGCTTTCCATTTCCCTTGCCTCTTCTTCAGCTATTCGATGTTCCTGTAACTCTAACAACTCTTCGTTGGTTAATTCTTCAGGAACAATGTCTAGCAGTTCTTCTATACCGTTATTGTCCACGCTGAGGTTCAGCTCGTTTGCCATGTTCACAAGATTGTTAGTAATTTTCTCGAGTTCTGTGATTGTCTCAAAAACCCTGAAATCGTTCACATATCTCTTCAATATTTTTTTCCACACTCCGTTCATACATTGTTTTGTGACATCATCCCAGGCCCAAGCAATGTTCTTGATGCAGTGGTATATGTTGTATTCTCTCCAAAACTCCCTCAGCGTCTTCTCGCCATCATCCGTTGCAGAAATAGCCATTGCAAAGGTCCTCCTGAGCTAGTAGAACTTGAAAGCTGCAATAGCCCCTTGATCCATAGGCTGAATCAAAGAGGTGGTATTCGGCGGCAGGAAAACCACTTTGATGTTGGGGTGGAGGTCACCAATGAAGGGGGGGGTGACCTGGAGCATTGTCCAAAATCAACAAAATTTTGAACTCTATCCCTTATTCTTTGCAGTATTTTTCAAGGTCACTAGCATAGCAGTTGAGAAGAGCATCCTGGAACAATGCTTGCATCATCCATGACTTTTGGTTGGCTCTATAATACACTGGTAACGTATGTTTGTTGACTTTTTTAAAAACCCTGGGGTTTTTACTATGCCACACCACAAAAGGTTTCAACTTGAATCCGGTAACACTCTCGCCCAACATAACAGTTACTGGATCCTTGAATGCCTTAAAGCCTGGCATCGACTTGGCTTCCTTGTGTATGAATGACCTTTCGGGCATCCTCTTCCAAAACAACGAGGTTTCGTCCATATTAATTATTTGCTGGGGCAAATATCCTCCCTCGACGATAAGGTTGTCCAAGGTTTCGATGAATTCTGCCGCGCCTGCAGAATCCGCGCTCGCCGACTCGCCGCTGACCTTGACGTTATGTAGCCCATAGCGATGTTTAAAGCGCTTAAATCAGCCAGAGCTTGCGAAAAACTCTCCGTCGTAGTCGGCTCCTGCTTGTTGCTTCAACATCTCGAACAAACTTTTTGCTTTGGCCGTGATGGTTAGCGTGCTGAGTGGGACTCGATTTTGAGTCTGGTCTTGAATCCAGGTCATCAGCATCTTTTCCATATTTGATATCGGCCCCTCTCAAAACTTGGTCAATATTGTTGCCTTCAGTGAAGCCGATCCATTTACCGCTTCAAGAATCTTCTCTCTGTTTTTCATTATCGTCGTGATCGTAGTGTGACATGCCGAAATCACGTGCGATATCATTCAGAGATTTACAGCCGTCACGCTGTCTTATTATTTTCTGCTTCGCCTCCAAATTAATGCTCTTGCGTTGTTTCTTGCTGCTGCTACCACTAGGGCTGGTTGAGCTGCGTTTGGGACCCATAAATAACTTTAGGGTGGATTGATTTTAATAAAATCAAATGTAGACAATGGAATATTAACGTTCACGATACGCGGAGGTAATGAGGAATGGATGATGATGATGCGACGCTGCCGAGAGCAAAAACAAAGCCTAAACTGTTATACAGTTTGTAAACTTTTTATTTCGTAGGTAAGGAAATCAAATTAAAAGTAATGTACTATACACTACAATAGGCAAAAAACAGAAACACTAACATAGGCATTTCTTATATCTATCAAAACATATTATGGATATATAGTTACTGTACTGTATCATTATATGCCTGGCAGCACAATCGATAAGAATACGCGATGCATACGTTACTGCGACCGCTCTAGGGCCATTTGGTTCGATACTTCACATTATTTGAATGTTTTTTTCAATTGTTTATTCCTTGACAGAGGAAGCGGGATCCTAGTGCTGTCACTTGGTACCCCTGTACCATAACACCAGAAGCAACTGGCCAGTGTCACAAGTATGTACAGTACAGTACAGTCATCCCTTGGTTATCGGGCCTAATTGGGACCCCGCCGATAACGAAAGTACAGAACCTATGGGATTTATTCTAATTGGTTCAATTACCCAAGACCCAACCCCAAGTTTCCCATTTTATGACCATTTATACCCACTAAATATACTGTATGTATATAATGTTATGGTAAATATCATACACACATAGGCATGGCTAGGTTTATTACAAAGTGATGAAAAGGGTACACTTAATACTGTAGTCCACAAAACATGTAGCTATGCTTTTTATATTTGGTCCCCCGTCATACAAGTCCGTTTTCTATCACATCAGGACGCCTGAGTCCTCCATTTTCTCTCTTAATCTTAGAGTGCACCAGAAACTTTACTATTTTTAGTAATGCCACAGAATTTGAAATTGCAACCCCAATTGCAACTGGGGTTGCAGTTGTTGAGGCAACTAGATATGTCTGATAACAGCAAATGTGTTATTGTCAATTTGTAGGTGAAAGATTTTATCCTCAATAGATGTAGGTTAACATTTCACCTATAGGCAAATGCTTGAAAAAGCCTAAATAAGGAAGCATATTCCTTTAACACATAATATCTGACCAGTATGGGGAGGATCATCATGTCTCCGTCAGGGG